TGCCAAAGAAAAACTTAACGAAAGAAAAAAGCAAATGATCAAAACATCTAATGAAAAAGCTAATCACCCACATTTCAGTGTAGGGGATACTGTGTATTTGTACAAACCTGTTGTGACCCCAGGGAATTGTGCCAAATTCCTAAGACCATGGGTGGGTCCCTACCTTGTATCAGAGAAAATTTCTCAGATACATGTAAAATTGCGCAGACTTTCCGATGGTAAGGCAATAAAGAATAGAGTCCATATTAACAGGTTAAAGAGGGGGGCCTTGCGGTTTGATGAGCTTAATGAAGCCCCTCCTGACAATATTGATGCCATTGAACCTGCCATTCTAGGGGATGATGAAATCCCAGATCAAAATGATCAAACTGACATTGTGACTGAAAATGGAAAAGATGATCAGGTTTATGAAATTGAGAAAATTATCAAGAAAAGAAAAGTGAATGGAAAAGAACAGTATAGAGTGAAGTGGCTATCATTTGATAGCAAATACAATTCATGGGTAGATTTTGAGGACTTAACGCCAGATTGTCAAACATTTGTCAGGAAAACGAACATTCCTTTGTTTAAAAAACGGCGTTAATTCAGCATGGTAGCATAGTGTATTCTTAGTTTGTAGTCTCTGTATTTTTTCAAATATACTTGTTTTTCTCATTTTACTTGAGAGGACTTACATTTTATTTTTCACAGTGCATATTTAAAACCACGAAGGATTGTCATATTTTCTTGTTCTCAAGTAAACACGTGAAATCAGTTTTATAAGTTTGCACATAATTGTGGAATAAATAATGTTTGTTTTCATATTATATTTTGTGTGTTTTGCTTATACTATATCAATATGTTTATGATGTACCCAGTAGATTTGTCAGTTCATTGTAAAACCACGGGTCATGATTCACGTTTCTAAGAAATACATGTTAATTCCCAGTTTTATAATCAATTACAATTTCGAAGTGGACTACATATTATTATTTTCCCATTTGTTAATTCATGATTATGTGTACATGTATCACCTGTGCAGTAGTAAAATAATGGAAGAATTACATTGTTTTATAATTAATTTTACTTACACAGATCTTTAATGCTGGTCGTTATTATGATTTGTTTATATGAATTAATTTCAATGTTACTGAATTTTGGTACCCTTCGGTTTCATTGTGTATGGAACAATGTTGTTCTTGTTTTTATTTTTTACATTTTTTTTCATCATTGTAGCAATTAATTCAATACAGAAAATGTAGTGGAAACATTTTTAATTGAGCCGAGGGTAATGTCAAGGAGTGATTTTGTGTATTTTACTTTTACTTTGATGTTTCAGCATCTGTGTTGTATTTATCAAATTTGACATCTCTCCCCCCTCCGTCCCACAGTATCAATGACAGTATTGTGAGTTATATGTTTAGAGTAGAGATAAAAGCTTGAGCATTTCCTGTCCAGAGAATTCTGTAGAAATTTATGTCAACCATTCTTTCCTTTGATGTTACATTTGAGTTTCATTGGATATCTTTATAAATGTGGGCGGAGTTTAGGGGAAAGAGATGAGATGTGAGTTGTGTATCAGAGAGAGTCTTAGTTTTGATAGTTTAGCGATTAAATGTAACCTTTGAAATTCTTTGAATAAAAAGTGAAAACGAAAACATGTAGTGACGAGTAATATTTTGAGTTCTGCATCCCAAGAAAGTTTGAATGTGATGCTAAACTTGATTGTGACGACGGAAGTGACGAAATTGATTGCGTAATAGCTGTACAATCGGAAACTACAGGTAAATCAATCGCACTAAAATTAGAGCGCTATATAGTTTTAGCGGATTAAAGTTTAATATAATTTTTATTAGATCATGTAGATTGCAGGTACATGTATCTTAAATATTTTATTTAAAAAGAGAGTCAAACATTTTGCTAAAATTAGAAGCAAAAATCTAGAGCTTTAGTCTAGAAAATAAGTTCAATCTTGAATTCTAAGATTTATATCTCTCACAATTAAATAAATTCTACTATATATGTTCAATGTGTAGTTTTGATTGTCTCTTTTTCTTTTGCAGACAACTCTGGGTATGGGCTGTTTACATCAACAAAAGAGTTTATTTTCTTATTCCCAATATTAACACTTGTTTGTTCTTGATAACATTTTAAGGCATAAATATTTGTATGCTAGTTTTCTATTGGGGATATGTTCTTAATAGTTCTTGTACTTTTTTTTACAATAAATGCTACAAATTGTTTTATAAAAAAGGAAACAGTGTACTATCCTTAGATAGGTGTATATTATACCCTCTTCTCCTCAGAACTATAACAAAGGAAACAAATTAAAAATTATGGAGTAAATACTCTGCTACATTGAAATTTAATAGTATTTTTTAAGTCTCCTCCATTGAAATTCTAACCATGAAGGTTTGTTTAACACATATGCACTCATTGTCCCAAAACACTGCCTTGAGAGGGAATCCATACAAATTATTCATGATGAAAGCCCTTCAATGTCTGCGAAACATTACTGAATGAGTGAAAAAAAAACTTTGTTAAAAAACATTTAAAATATCCTGATTGTTAAAATATTCTAATTGTATACACAAGTACTGTGAAGTTGATATTAAAATGATGCCTGAATTTCTGATTGACAATATCTATCTGGTTTTGGAGACTAGGCTTGGAACTTCTATGGGTACTGATTATGCCACCATACTAGCTGACTTACTTTGTATTCATATAAGGCAGAATTTTTTCAAAATACTATACAAGAGAAAAAGAAAACACTTGCTGAAGTTTTCAACTCGACATATATATATATATATATATATATATATATATATATATATATATATATATATATATATATATATATATATATATATATATATATATATATATATATATATATATATATATATATATATATATATATATATATATATATATATATATATATATATATATATATATATATATATATATATATATATATATATATATTATATATATATATATATATATATATATATATATATATATATATATATATATATATATATATATATATATATATATATATATATATATATATATATATATATATATATCGATACCACTGAGACCGACTTATTTTTATACTTTGTTATTTAACTAGAAAAAAGGTTAATGGTAAGCTAACGACAAAGGTTAATGATAAATGTGATGACACATTTTAAATTGTCAAATTTCCATACAGCAATATACCCTTAACAGCTGCATACGAGGTTTATATCTCTCAGTTTATTTGATAAGCTAGAACATGCTCAACGTAAGAACAATTTCTAAACCAAGGAAGGTTATTGACAAACAAGTCTCGTTTAAAGTCATCATTTCGTAAGTTCTATAGTTGACACAATGACTTTTGTCGGCAAATATAATCTATCATTTAGTTAAATGCTGACTTACATTTTCCATACTTCTTGTCAGACCATGATTTTCGTTTTGTTTTCCAATCATCAAATGAGCACAGGGTGTTTGTAGTATTTTATCCGAATATAAAAAAGACGTCTCAAACACTCAGGCTGATTCTTTTTTCGACTTTAAACAGACGTATCGAATTAAATGATAAATGAAAAAGAAAAATGTTAATTAATATCATATCACGATGCATTTACTTAAAAATCAAATAAAGGGTCACATCACGAAACTTTTTCCATTTTATTTAAAAGTGTTTTTAATATATAGTTGCTTTTTCAAACAAAAATATAAAAACACGACTGCCGCTTTTCCTTTGCTTGAGGTAGTGTGTTTTAAAGCATCTTGTCCATTTTTCCAATTTATTTTTACCACTGCAAAAATATTAATATGAATAATTGTCGACTTTCCACATGCTCAATTCAGTGCATTGCATTTTATGATTATAAAATTGTTTCAATTTGTAATTGAATTTTTTTTCATGAAATAACTTAAAGCTTTTAATGAGGAAACCTAACATTTCAATTGTCTTTTCTATATTTTGATCCACTGCATCATAAACAGCATAGTTTGGTTTTAATCCGTCTCCTCTGGTTGTAGTTAAGACTGGCATGGGCTTCATAACGTCTGTCAGAAATTCTGATTCTGTTTTAATATGAAAAAAAAATCTAAAACAAAAATACAAAACAGCCATTCCAACAAATTGGTCTTTTTCTCAAAGAAATCTTGATAACTTTTTGCGTCTAGGAAATAACGACAAGAAGCTCACGGTCCACAACACTCACCAGAGACATGTTATGATTGGAATGAACTTTTTATGAGGTTTGTTTTACATGACAGTATATCAATATGACTCAATATGGTTATCTTGCTTCTCATATTCTTGAGAAGGAAATTCTTAAAGAATGTATCCTCTATCCACATGTAAAATGAGTTTTCCATTTAGTTATGTTTCATTTAAGTGATTACGAAAAACAATAAGGACACGAGATGAGGAGTTGATCCTTACGTCGCGGGTTCGAATCCCGCTGTTGGACGTGGAGACCGGTCATTCGGATGAGACAGTATAAATAAATGCCCCGTGTAACAGTAGGTGCTTGCACGAGAAAGATCTTTCTCTGCTCAATGACCCTGAGTGGAGTATAGGACAAAAGTTGCAGCTCTTCGCCGCAGTGATGGCGTCTCCATATGAGGGAAATATTGTCGGGAGGGAAGTTAAGCAATATACAAACTAAGCATGTCTTTTATAAAGACAGATTGATGTGAGTAAAACCTTTTCTTGTGTTTATGGAGTCGTCCTCCTCTACTTTGTGGTTTGTAGATTCCGAGCTGACGTTCTGAACCTCTAGCAGCCGAGATTTCGAAACATTAAATTTTTGTTTTGTTTTGCTGTTAAAATAAAAATAACGAATTAATGTGCATGAAATGAGAAGTGCCCACAAATTGTGTCAAATATGTTGAACAAAAGAAGGAATTAGATTTAATCTTTGACACACACACGAAAGTCTTCAAAAACGTTTGCGTTACGCATATTTTTTTCATAATATGTCGGCTATTGAAGGATTAGTCAAACTTACCAAAGTTGTTTTCCTCTTATTGTATACTTGTAAATTATGAAAGCGGTCGTGCAAAGCATTCCAAGAAATAGGAAACCACCAAGAGCTAATATGCCAGAGTTCCTTGTATCATTTTCAAACTGCAATGCTTTTTCTGTAGGCGATGCATACGAAGTAGTTGTTGACAAAGGGATATGAATTGTTATTGATACAGAACTTTGCCGACTGGGTGTCCCATGGTCCTTTGCTGTTAAAGTCAATAGTAATGTTTTTATTACATACAAGGGAGTCAAGTCCTCCTAATATAAATACTACCATTACTCATAATCCCAAAATACTCCTTCGAGTTTGATGATTGGTCTAAAACATAATAAAATTGCCCTTGAGGATTTGTAAAGAGATCATTGTCATGCGCGGTAAAGTTTGTTACTATTGCACCAATCAGCTCATGGGATTGCAAAGTCAACGAAACCCAGGCTGCTGAAAAGACTGGAGAGAATTCGGTTTTGTATTCAATAAACACGCCAACAATTGCGGTATCCGAATTTCCTCCAGAATCCTGCACGGTAACAGTACAGTTAAAGTTTGTGACGGTTCCCGGGATGTCCAGATCGTAATCTCCAAGGAACGAAAACTGGCCTGTATTTGTGTTGATTGACACCTTGTTATCGTAAGGACTGTCACAAATCTTTTGGAATGTGAAGGTTTCGCTGGCGTCAGGGTCTCTTATGTTGTAGTTTGGAAGCGGAAATGTTGATCGGCTCTGAAACAAAGGTCAACAACCTGTTTACTGCATTTAAGTATTTTCCATGACGAAAAAACCCCATTTAAGATAAATTACAATATTCCTATTACATATACTCTAAGAATCCATTCTAAGGATAAATTCTAAGAGTCCAAACTTCTTCAATTATCCAAATATTGGGACCTTGCATGAACTCTGGGGTCCAAATCTTTGGATTATATTTAGCACATAATTAAAGAAAACTTAAATCTTACATTGCCTTCTTCTCTAATAATTCTGTAGTAGTCTTCCGCGAAATAACAGGCTTCATTGACGTCCGCTATCCTTATCGTTCCAGTCTGAGAGGCGACAGCTATGCCGTCTGTACTGTATACGACTAAAAGTATGTCTGTTGTTGGTAAAATGTCATAATCTATGTTATGCACAGAAGATGTTGTTATGATCCCGGCTATAAAACAACGCATACTCTTCTTAATTATTTCTTTGCTTTGTTTGTTATTAACAAAAATTAACGCAATCAGGTGTTGCAGAAAAAATACATGACCCGCGTAAGCGAGTTATGTAAATCTTTTCTGCAATAGCTGTGACCGTTAATTCCAGTAATAACAAACAGAGAAAGACATTTTATTGTTTATATTAATATCTGTTTAAATAATCATTTAAAGTAGGATTAAAAAGATTAATTATTATATTTATGACGCGAACTTCTTTATACGTTTCATTGATGGAACAGTCACTGATCAAGAAACCTGTACATGTGACATGCCTAATATAGTTCATGCAGTAATAAACGTAATGGGTTTTCTTAAGAAATAAAGGAGAAAATATTCAGTTGATGTAAATATATACTAGTAAACGGCTTGGTTCACTTGATGTTTAGACAGTCCTCCCCTTACACCAACTATAACACTTATCTATAATGATCAATACATATTAAGATATCATACTTTTGTCAATGTACTATATAGTACGTACAAGAAAACATTGATGTAACCATCAATTGTCGCCCGGGAAATATATAAAGTAAACAATGGAAATGAGTCATGATCATCAAACCGCTTCGATATGTGTGAAAAGGAATGCGTCAAATTGATGGAGACGATAGTCGAGAATATTTTGAAAACTTGTAGTCGGATAAAAATCAATCAAAAACGACACCATTTAAAACTTGTTCAATTCCTCAAGTTAATGTTGGCTGCATAAAATATAAATTAAAGTTAGACACACGCATTACCTATATTTAAAAATGTATTTATTTTCAATTTTAGAATATAAAACTCGAACTGTGCAGAGTACGTTTATATTCGACAAGTAAAATTAGATGTTCTAAAAAAAGGGACCTGTCGTTTTTCAATAGTAAATCATAAGCAACTTTATATATTAAATATGAAAAACATATATATTTTTACAGATTCACTTTATGGTAGTAAATATATTATGCATCTCGTAATTTATAAACGGAAAGAACATTCTGATTAACAATCTTTTCAATGTTTAGAAAACCCTTAATTCTAAATAACTACTCCCACCCCAATCCCCGTTCACCAATAATTAAACTTATAATGCATTCCAAGGTAAAAAAGGAAATTCCAATGTGTCACTTTTCTAGGTTTTTATTTCAAAATACTCAAAGAACTTCTGACAGTTCTTTCAAAATCAAAACTTTTTGGAAACATCATTAAAAATTAAATAAAAGATGTTATCTTGCAAAAATAATTTTACATTTACTTCAAAATACATCAATTGGCCAATTCACTATAGTAAGATAACTTGGCTAAATAATTTTTTCTTCAAATTTTGAAATATTCCAGATAAATAAAATGTGAATCAGACTGAAGAAGAAATGGTATACAGACATAGTACTTGAACATGGTTCACTTTCCCAAAGATCTCAGTGATATTTAATGCATTGTTAACTAAAACTATGCAGTTTCAGTTTTTCAGAAATTCAAAGTATATAAGATACCGATAAATATTCATTTACATTTCCCCAATTTTCATATTTTTATTTAGTCAAAAAGGGCCAAAAATGGCCAAAATCAATGAATCCGTCTCCATGGCAACCAAGTGCACGTGTGGAACTTCGTTTTACTAGTTTTGTACTAAGACACACCTATGGTGAAAATTTCATCAAAATCCGAGACATGTCGTTTCCAAGATTTTTTGGTGCTTACAGAGAATGCGTGTTAAGTATGTCTTAAACCGTAACATAAAACGAACTTAGCGAGGTCTTAGCTAAGTCAAACTTATGTTAAAAATATTTCTAATGAATCAACCTATAGCTTTTGATTTTATATAGATGTAACGGGAACCAGTTTATCTATGGACGTAAAGTGTACTCGATCTGTCCCAAAGTATATATATATAAATGATAAACTTGATCTTAAACTTTACTTAGTAATACTAAGGAACAGACTAAGCCCACAAACTATTTAATCGTATAATGACTGGTCCTGTTTGTTTTATTCAACCCAGGTTCTGAGATTCCTAGATTATGATCAACACCTTGAAATAAGAAGAAAGTTTAAATTTTTAACAGTTAATTTATTATGGTGATAACTGAATAATTTGTAGTTGACAACAAATAACAAATAAGTTTCCAAAATAATCTCAAAATGTAAATAAAAAAAAATGAGGTAGAAAAATAAATTAATAACTGAATAAATAATAACAAAGTAAATAATTTGATAACAAAAATATAATGGAGGAAAAATAAGTGTGATGCCCTAAGAAAAATCTACCAAAATAGATGGGAGTGAGCTTCCATACACCTAAGAGATTTTATGATTCCATACAACACCCTAAAAATTATAGTGAGACTCTATGCAAGTAGACTGAAAATTTCCTAAAGCCCTATTTATTACACAAGGGACAAGGCAATTTAGTTATTATAAATAACACTATAAAGGCCTAGGGATATCTAATTCATCCTTGAACCAATGTGACTCTAGAGCTAAGGACCTTATTACATTTTACAGAATTTAGACAGTGTCCTAAACAAAAAAAATAAGACTGCACGAGCAGTCCGGGATTAAACCCTAAGAGCTAAGAAGAGTAAGCTTGAACCTGTGGGTTCTTTAGCCTAGAGTGACTTGAAAATGCCGCTGTTACCGTTTATATATAAACTCTGACCAATAAAAATCATTCTAACTAAGTAGCTTTGAAATAGTAATGAGAATATCTAAAATGATTTCTGATATGTTCAAGTACTATCTGTCAACCAATGAAAAGTCAGGATACAAAATAAGTTTGGAATGACAGCCAAAATGGAGGTAAATTTAACCTGAGCACATGTGAAAACAAATAAAGTTACAAAGTTACAAATTCGGGACTTTGAACATCAGGGATGACTATCGGAAAATGTTAAAAGGTATTTAAATGCACTAAATATTCTGTGTATGACAAATTAAATGTACTGTAAAAGAAAAACCAAAACCGTCACACTCCTCCCCCCTTAAAACAAAAATTACAATCTATGAATTTTTTGTTATATTAAAATAAAAGGAAATACGGTAATAATCAACTACAATTAAAAGTTCACTTCCGGAACCCTCCCACTGGGCACTTTTCATCACGAGGGTTGTGGTCCTCTGTGAGTGAGAACAAAGGGACGGCTGTTGTCCTCTGCCTCTCCTCCCTTGCCCTCTCTCGTTCCTCCCGGTGCACTCTTGGGCGCGGCCTTCTGAAAGTTCCTGGGTCCACATATTTGTTATTCAAGACCGTTTCTTTTCTGATGTCGAGTGTTGAAGAAGTGCGGTGCCTCTTCTTCATGTGTCTGCGCACCTCGGACATTTTAATGTCCTTTAGGCTACATAGTGGGCAGTGGTAGAGAGTTATGTGCCTCCTGTGGAAGCGATGAAAGTGGCACCAGTAACTTCCTAACTTCTTAAACAGATGGGTCCCCGAAGGGCATCCAACAACAGGACAGGCCATGCCTCCCTCCGGCCACTCTTCACCCATCTCCTCCTCGTGGAACTCACACATTTCCTCATCATTAGGATGTAAGTCAAGAATATCCTCCATGACTAAAATATTAAGAATAATTATTAACATCACTATGTAAATATATATTTTAAGTTCCTAGTGACTCCATAAACTGAAATTAAATTTGAAAATTACATCTTAATGAAAGATTGTAATATCTAAAAGCTGTCAAATGAAATAAGTCAGACATATCAATAATTACTATCGTGCAATTAATGCACTTCTCAAACACGCACTGTTTGTATGTAGAGGCCTCTACTAATATTACTTCTAGCAATTACAAGTCTGACTTAATGGTTTTGAATTCCAACACAATAAAGGGAGATAATTCAAACTTGTTCATCTACGGAATTGTAATAAAATAATCACAATTTCTCTCAATGAATCATTATCTATTTTACTGATATAGGATTAGTCTAAAATGATATGAAAAATAACTGTCAAGAACAGTTTGATTTCTAGATAACCATTAAAATGAATCAACTACGGCGTTTCATTTCCAAAATAAAACATCTCTCATCGACCGTATCTAATAAAGTCAACACAGCAATAATATGAAGAATTTCAGAATGGAGACTTAGAAAACACTTAAACTTTTATACTGTTGTTTTAGATTTTAGAGAAAAAAAAAATACCTCAACATAAAAAAAATGGAAACATATTCATTAAGTGCTATCAATACAAAAATGACATTATGTCATTTTAAAATATATATATGTACAAGGGATTTATTGGTTCAAGGAGAATAGATATCCCTTGGTTTAATTCGACGGCCAACTCTTGACCTTTTATATTCAGGACTGGGTTCTGGAATAAAATCAGCTAAAAATGACTCCTCTTCACTCAAGAGTTCATTATCTACAGGGTCAGGGGTAACTTCTTGAGAAATTGATTCTTCAAGGGGAGTAACTACTGGTATCCAACTAGGTGGGGGAGAAATACCTTCATAAGGTTTTAGGTGGTCTACATGGACTACAATACATGAACTTTCAGGTGTTTTCTGTATTCTGTAGGTCACCTCTGTAAGTTTGTTAATTACTTTGTAGGGTCCTATCCAACCTAAAGCTAACTTAGCTCCTGCTGTAGGAGGATACCATCTCCACACATAATCACCCTGTGAAAAATGTCTAGGTTTAAGACCTCTATCGTAATACTTCTTTTGTTTTACAGCGGCTCGCTTCAGATTTTCATTAACAAAATCATGAGTTTCAGAAAGAACATTTCTCAACCATTCCACATATTCAACTGGACAAGTGGGATTTGGGGTTTCTTGAGGGTTACCTAATATAAGATCAATAGGACTAGAAATTTCCTGACCAAACATGAGCAAGTTAGGTGAACAACCAGTACTCTCTTGAACTGTAGACCTATACGCCATAAGAAGAAAAGGCAAATTCTCATCCCAATTGTTCCTATTCTTATTTGCATAACTGGCTAACATTTGTTGCAACATCCTATTATATC